GGTTATTACAAAGATGCAGTTGCAAAGCAACACTTACAGCAACAGCTCCCTACACCATTGTCTTTTATATGCCTTCTTGTATATCTGCTGGTACTGACAAGTTGACTTTGTGACTTGGAAGCTGCAATTCAAATTATATAACGTGCTTACCTTTTGTGTAACAAAAGGTTCCGTCTTGCACGTGCAAGAACAGAACAACACAGGCATGATACTTCTGCTCCACAGAAGACATGCTGTGGAGCTTGATGCTTTTTTTGAAGTCTTTATACGGAGCAGAAACACCATAGTGCCTTCAATTAAATGACCTTCACAGTACCTGTAAGGCACAGTCTTGTTACTTCCATTCTTTATATCAACTAAATCTTGGAAGTCTAAACAGGTCACTCAAGTTTAGTTATTCTCTGAGCTATGATTAGTACTTTTGGGACTCTTTGGGCCTCAGTCACAAACAAGTCTGGCCCATAACTGTGTGTCTGTCTAAGGATGGTGCTTGGGTTGAGTAATCAGTGCGAAATCCTACGCCTGTGGGCATCACTGGTGTTTGCCATTGACAATAAATGGTCCAGAACTTAAGAATTTTTTCACTCTAAAACTCGATTTGCTCATGAGGTATGACGTGTATATGATTAGTTGCTGAACGTACAATTAATTGCTTTTGTGGTAAAATGTAACTGGATAAAGGGAGGGAGTAGTGATAAACGTCATAGTTTGAAGGTCCTTTTTGGGATCTGCTTCAGTTTGAGATCCTTGCTAAATGTACGAGAGCCGCATATATATATATATATAAATGTACGAGAGCACCTTGTAACTCTGTATTATAAACTTCTGTGGAACTGAAGGGGGACCTTCCAGGATTGAGCTCATGTTTGGAGGCTGCCGGTATTTGCTTCGTAACATTAACTCCCTCTCTGTCCCTTTCTCTAAGGGATTCTGAGGACAAAACCAAGTTCCTATTGAACTCTTCTCGAGACAATTCCCAACCTTTTATAGGCCTTGCTTTTAAGCTGGAGGTAAGCTGTTACGTTTTTCTCCTTCTAATGCAGCAAAAACAGTAGAGAAGGAGAGCACTTCCTACAATTGTTGGTGTCTGTTAAGTCTTGCTTGCACTGAGCGAGTACAGCCTGCTACTATTAGTAGGCTGTCACTGATCACCAGGAAATGCCTTTATGCAGTGATGGTTGTTAGTTTGTGGGGGAAGAGCACTCTAGAGTTCCCATTTTAAAGCTTGGTGTTTAAATGTGTCTTTGCATGTGATGGCATTGTTATTTGGTCGCACGGTATGTGGTAAAGCTATAAGCTAACAGTTTCTAGAGAACGCAGGCCCAGGACTTGAAATAACTGACTGACTTCAACTGTTTGCAAATTTGCTATGCTACCAGTACCTGAGCTCTGCTGAGAGACTTAAACTTGTATTCACCTTGTGTTAACCTTGAAGGAGAAAAAAACATGTCGAGATTCATTTATTTGTGATGTATCAAGTGTATCAAACATCACAAATCTGTAAGTTTAAAAATGGATTATGTGCCTCAAATACTTCAGATTTTTCTTAGCTAAAACCTGAAAGTTTGGAAGGTTTTGTTGGCATATTTCAAATGATTTTGGAGGAAGATCTTATTTCTGTTTGAAGGTGAAAAAGATGGAACGTGAGAGAGATGAAGAGGTAAAAATACGACGTTTTAACCAAACAGGCTGTTTGCTACCTAGAGAGTAGCAGTTTGGATTTCCATATAGAAAACGGCCAGCCAAGTTTCTAGTTACTGTATGCCTTTGTTGGGAAGGTTTAGGACTGCTAAAATTGGCAAAGTACAAAATTGCGAGGAATGCCCAGTTTCCATCCCAGGGTAAAGCAAAAGCTGAGACTACATTAAAACAAAATTTCATTTACATGTCTAATATATAAATTCAGAGTAGAATCATTGGGTCTATCAGTGCAGAGCATGCTTAGAATAGTGGTGGTCTTGATTGCCAGAAGGATTATACCTGACTTTTAATGAATTTCAATTAATTTTCATTTCAGGCTGGCCGTTTCGGGCAGTTGACTTATATTCGAATTTATCAGGGGATGCTGAAAAAATCCGATTATATCTATAACACTAGGACTGGGAAGAGAGTGCGTGTGCAAAGACTTGTTCGTATGCATTCAGACAACATGGAGGTAAGTGTGAGAAGTAGATTTGCGGCAAACTAATCACCTTTTGAGTCAATGTTATTTGAAAAGTGAGAAGCTAGTTTATTATCTCTGAACAATGTGATCTATGGCAAATTCTTGCCATTGATGTTAATTCATGTTTGTCTTTAATATTTAATAGAGCTCTCTAATAATACCCTGAAGGCGATTTCAGTTTATTTCCACTTCAGTGGAAGAGTCTTTTCTTAAGAAGCATTATAAAATGACTTTGAGGTGATGGCCTAAGAAAGCCAGCTGTGGTATTATCCCTGCGTACTCCTTACTTGAAGGAGAAGGGGAATAGGACGGGCAAAATACATACAAAAATTTCTTCCATGTGATTTTTGAATACAACTGAAAATGGATTCTTAAAATGCTGCAAGCATTACCCTGTTCAAAATTCCTTAACTCTATTGCTGGGTCAGGACTGCCTGAAAAC